ATGTTTTATTTTTATCAAAAATTCAAGTAGGTATCAATAAGTAAAAAAATATATATCAATGAGTTTTCAGCGTCCTATGTCAGTTTTGACACCTGAAAGATTTTTTTTAATTTGCCGCCTTTTGAATGGGACTAGACTCAAAGTCAAAGTCAAAATTATTTATTTCAATTAGGCCAGAAAGGTACTTTGAACTCGCTTGACAGACTCTATCAGGTCGTTTCCATCCCAATGCTGAACCCTCTTGTGTTCTTTTAAAGAGTCGATAAAGCTCACCATACCTTCGGTGTTGTAACCAAACTACAATGTTCAGTCATCACCAACAGCCTATAAGTGAGCACTGCTGGCCAAAGGCCTTTTCTCGCACGGATCACTGCGCTTGCTCAATGCGGGTTGGCGATTTCAAACTTATAATTGGAAATTATAAGCCCAGGTTTCCTCACGATGTTTTCCTTCACCGTTTGTCAATTGTGACTGGATAATCTTAGAAAGTACATATAACATGGAAATGTCACAATAGTAGGTATTTGCCGTTGGTAATTTTTAATATCTTTGCGAAATAAGGGACAAGCAGTCATAAATGGGTCAACTAATGATGAGTTATAAAGTACTCTTCATGTACTTCTGCAATACCATAGGAGTTAGGAACGCCGTGCCCGGTCACAGACAGACAGTAAGGGGACATTGGACCCGTGTTAGCCTTCTTACAATCTCATCTTTCGACCAATCACATGATGTAATTTCTTGCTCGTTCTTCTCCATAAGAATCTACACTTTGGAACGAGCAAATAGCTTCACTAGAGGACTGACCTACAGACTGACATTTTTTCTTATTATATAAATACTAGCTTCTGCCCGCGACTTCGTACGCGCAACCCCGATATTTCCTGTTCTCGTTCTTGATTTTCGGTAAAAAGTAAAAAAGTATTGGGTAAAAAGTATCCTATGTCCGTCTCCTGGTTCTAAGCTACGTCCTCACCAATTTTCAACCAAATTGTTTTAGCCATTCTTGAGTTATAAATAGTGTAACTAACACGCCTTTCTTTTATATATATAGATTTTGTTTTGACGTTCAAAAGTGTCTTCCTGGTCTAATTGAAATAAATGATTTTACTTTGACTTTGATGCTACTTGTCGTGATTGATATGATCTTTTTCTCACCAACTCCAACATTTGTTTTCCAGGATCTGTCCGATGATGGAGTATACGTTCTGGACACTGGTGAGGAGCTCTACTTGTGGCAAGGAAAGAAAATCCCAGAGCGAGTCAAGATGGCTCGGAACGACATTATCAAGGTACCTAATTCAAATTATTAAACTTATTAACCAGACTGTATAAAAACAGAATTTTTGTATTGGCACCCAAGTGGGCCTACCTGAATTCTTATGGTAGTCCCATTTGGGCGCCAATTCATTTTTTTATAGTATATGTATGGTGGCAAACGAAAAGACAGATTACCTGATGGTTAAGCAGTCAGCGCCCATGGGTGTCCATGGGCACCCATGGGCACTGATTGCTTAACCATCAGTACCAAAAAGTTTCAAGTGTGTTGGGTTTTGAGAGGATAGGGCCTCCGGTAACTTCACTCACACAATGCTTCACTTGTGTCACGTGGGTTTTCTGCTCGGCCATGGTATGACTCCGGTCGACCAGCCCTATTTTTGGCCTTCCCACACTGAAACTTTTGACGACAAAAATCGAAGAAACTTTAGGCTGATTTTAGTCTAACGCTAACTGTCACCGTTCATAACTCAGATCTTAGTTTGACACACGATGATCAAGCCGTAGCTTTATCCAACAGCACTGACCGACGAACGTGTTATTCTAAAACTAATATAATTATTTGTCTACCTCGTTGACCGAATAGTCGCAAGTGAAACTGCCAGGGTCTTGGGTTCAATTCCCGGGTAGGGCAAAGTATTACTGGGTTTTATAAAAAAAATCTCCGTAGTAGCACGGATACTGGTATATGGCAACCCCCAACAACAATGGCTGACCCCCTATTACATGGGATTTATATCTAACATAAATAAGGAAAAGTTGGCGTTACATTGTATAGTGGCATTAAGTGACATAATGTGCACCTCTGCCTACCCCTACGGGGATAAAAGGCTTGAAGTTACGTTATCATTATTTTAAGCTTCCCGCCCTAATCTTCTTTCATTCTTCTCCAGGAATATATAGAAGATGACGGTTTAGACCGTACAGTCGACAATGCTTTGGTGGTGTTCGTGAAGCAGGGTGAGGAGCCTGGAGCGTTCAGGAAGCTCTTCCCTGAATGGGATACCGCTATGTGGGACGTAAGTAGATAATGTTTTTTTAAAAGTTTATTTATTTATTTAGGGATATGTCATTTGTGATTGATTTTGGACTTTATTGTTATGGAGATGGAGACGACAATATGTTTGGTGCGTGTAGCTAGCATAACAAATGATATTTTTTGCTATGTATTGCAATATTTTGGCATTTTCACATTAGTACCGTACCCCTTGACGAAATTATTAATATACATTATTATGTCCAAATCGGCTTGATTACGGTTTCGTAAATGAGTGTCGACTCTTGGGCAGGTATCAAGTTAAGCATAGGGTACCTTTTTTTTTTTTTTTTTTTATGGCATAAGCCGGTAAACGAGCAGACGGATCACCTGATGGAAAGCAATCGGCGTCGCCCATGGACACCTGGAATACCAGAGGCGTTACAAGTGCGTTACCGGCTATTTGTGGATTAGGAGTTTGAGGATTGTTGGGGATTCAGGGATTGGGGAGATTGGGGAAGGGGAGGGAAATTGGGCCTCCGGTAACCTCACTCACGCGACGAAACACAATGCAAGCGTTGCTTCACGTCGGTTTTCTGTGAGGCCGTGGTATCACTCCGGTCGAGCCGCAACCTTACCTTACCTTTTTTTTTTCGAAAAATCGCATATTAACACTGAGTCTAACACAGTAAAGATGATGCGCTAGTGGAAGCCCGGCTTCAAAGCCTCGAACACAGGCGTAAGGTTGCAAGCCTTTCGGTTTTCTACCGGATACATTTGATTCCCCCTAGTCCTTTCCATCATCGTACCACAAGACAATCGGCGAAGCGTCATCGATTCATGGTAGATATCCCACCCCCACGCACAAAGCGCTTCGCATCAAGCTTCCTTGTGCGTTCCTAAGGAGTAGAATTCTTTGCCAGAGTCTGTATTTCCTGAAAAGTATAACCTGGGTGTCTTCAACGCCCGAGTGAATAGGTTGCTTATGGGACAATGTGCTCCATCGTAGACCGCATCATCGCACCACCAGGCGAGATAGTATGCAAACATCGGCTCATCAAATTTACAAAAAAATATCTGAAATATGGACCAAACAGCCCGCTAAATATAAATGAGGGATCATTTATATTACACGGGACTCATAACACAAGTGGGGATAAGTGGGCGTTACATTTACGACATTGACTGCACGACGTGTCGCGCACTGGATTCCCGTACAGAGCAACTCTTTGTGTTATCCATCAATTGTTATTTCGGCTCTTTCTGTCGTATGTATGTCCACTTGTATGTTTGTAAACGCACCCACGACACAGGAGAATATACAAGTGAGGCAACGTTCTTAACAAAACTGCTACAATTACTAATAATATATTATTATTTCTTCCACAGAACCAAACATCTTACGAAGACATCAAGAATGAAACGAAAGCAGCGAATTCCAAGTGAAGAAGCCGAACAAGTAAAAACTAACCCTAAATAATTAAAAAAAGGAGTTTTTATATGTAATAGTAAGGATATAAATATAATCAGAAAGCATTATTTTATTATATAACCTTTTATTAAAATAATATATACATTAAAACTTTTTTATATACACATTTCGAGTTTCATCTACTACCTTATTTTTATTTATAGCTGTCATGTTCTGTTGTCGAATCACAGCAGCTGTCAAATTTTGAACGACTAATAGGGTTACACTGGCTAATTCCTTATTGGACGAGAAACGAGAGGATGATTTTCCCCCTCAACAAAAAAATATACATCGCCACGTACGATGATGGATTGAATCGAATAGAGAGAACAAGCGCGGTGGCGGCGCCGTATGTCAAAGTCAAAGTCAAAATCATTAATTATTTCAATCATACCAGGAAGGCACTTTTGAACGTCAACGACAAAAAAAATTTAGAAGTGAAGCTAGTTGCTCATTCCAAGGTGTAGATTCCTATGGAGAAGAACGAGCAAGAAACTCCATAAGTTACTCTTTTTCAATCGGGTTTACAGTACAATTCTCTAGTTACATAGTCTTGTTGGTTCGATTGTGTGAGAACAATGCAACACCTAAATGCAGTCAAAGAGATTGAAAAAGAAAATAACCTTGAGGACCACAAATAATACAGTCTGGAGCTGACCAGTCCCAATTGACGGCGCCCATTCTAGTCTAATTTAATTTAATTAATTGCAGGGCTCTCACATTAACAATAAATTGTGCAAAGTTTATGCAAGAACGCATACAGTTTCAAACAAAACAAATGGTACTTTCGCTTACAAATTGGCTCTAGTGTGACATCTCATTTCTCATCCAATAAGGAATAAGCTAGTGAAACCCTATTGGTCGTTCAATATTTGACAGCTGCTGTGATTGGCCAACAGAACAAGACAGCTACAAAAAAAACTGTAGCCTCTATTGAATTTGAAACTTTTGAGTTTAAAAATATTATTTTGCATGGTAGTAGTAACCTTTGGTCTCTATACATATAATACATTCCTAAATTTTATTTTAATGTCCGTACGGTAGATTAATTGTAAACATTAGACACGTATTTTTTTATTTTCTCACAAAATTAAATGCTTTTGACGATATATTGATTTGAAATGTCGCGTGACATCACAGCGTGCTACAAAATGTACCACGTTATGACGTAACTACCTCCCACTCCTAAACTTAACGCCATTTTATTTAAGTATTGTAACTTTATACGAGAAAATAAAAAGATACGTGTCTAATATTTTTTCATTATCTAACCGATGGACTAATTAGATTTTGAATTATCTTGCCCTGGAAACTACCCTATTATTAACTAGATAAACAAACACAAAACACACTAAACTGTAGCAATACACTGATTAATTATCTGAACTAGATTCTTATTCTCTAACGCGGCCGCTATCCTCTCCTTATCCGCAAGCTGCTTGTTCACCGCATGTTCAGATACGTGGGAGCCTTCCGAGACTTCTACGGTGACTTTAAACCGGCTTGGTAAGGCTCGGAGGAGACGGACTCGGATTGAGAGGCCTGGAATATTTTTTGCTTATGGTTAAAATGTGCATGAAGTAAAGTACATATTTATAATAAAAAATAAGGTATAAATTATTGAATTGGGAGAGACATGCTTCGGCATGAATGGGCCGGCTCGACCGGAGTGATACCACAGCCTCACAGAAAACCGACGTGAAACAACACTTGCGTTGTTTTTGTGTATACGTGTACCGTTCCCTTAACAATTACACTTCTTCATCATCAAACCCTTAATGACAGCCCCACTCTATCTAGGTGTAAAGTCCTCATCAACACAAATTAATCAAGCCCAAACACAAGGTAGTTAATATAAATCACTGAGGTGTTCCCTTGACTGTCTGTCGGCTCCATCATCAGGTCGACTCCAGACCCTTATCAAATTGTAGTGTTTAAACATCGTAATTGTTTGTAAACAGCGAGAGAGCTGCCATCGCCTAATGGTAGATGAGGCTCTCATGAACCACTTTGGAGCCGTTGTGATGGCCGCCCGAATAACTCGAGCCAAGGAAGTCCTTCTAATTGGTGACATAAATCAGCTTCCGTTTATAGATCGTGATAACCTCTTCCCTCTACTCTACAGCCGCCCTACATATATCACGCCCATAAGCCAGGAATTGATGTGTACCCACAGAAATCCAATGGATGTGGCGTATGCCCTCAGCACAGTTTACAGTGGCATATATTCGTCCAGGTCGTTCGTGAGATCCCTCGAGATAAAAAGGTTCTCGGGGGCGATGATTCCAAAGTCACTCCCCGACACTTTATACCTGGTACACACTCAGGCAGAGAAGGAATCCCTTAAGAACCAGGGATACGGGTCGACCGTGGGATCACGCGTGCTCACGATACACGAGGCACAGGGACTTTCGTGTGCGAATGTGATTGTTGTCAACACAGCAACAAAGAAACATCAAATACATGACAGCGTACCACACGCGGTAGTAGCAATATCGCGTCACACGCATGGTTGCATCTATTACACAGACAACAGTGAAGACGCGATAAGCAAACTAATCAGGAAGGCGGCTGATGAGGGTGAGCAAGGTATTAAGGACTACAACCTGAAAATGGCCATCAAACACAGGGACGCGGCAGTCGTGGGTGCTCTCTTGGGCGGGGAGTGTTGCTTGTGATGGAACGAATGCAACATGAGGAAATGTGTGTGCAGAAACATGTAGAAATAGAATATGACCAATTGAATTTTGGACTATTGTACGCTTTATTGGAATCGGCCCATGTGGCAAGGGTTGAGGCGTCATGCACACATAAATGTCCTACAGTCGGTGGCGCTGTGTGTTGGGTTGTTCCGTTCCCAATAAAAAGGTTGACCGGACCAATTGCTGACACACACGTCATACTCGTGAACGGGTGCCTTCTGCTGGGTCAGGTCGGCTCTCCCATCGTGTTGGTGGGCTGGTTTCATAAAGCCTTTGAAATAGAAATAAATAAATAGTGCCTAATTATTATGTAACCTATACTTTTGCTAATAATTATAGATGTAGTTAATTGTAGTATGTAACTAGGTTCCCTCTTTACTTTATAAATATTGACTAGATGTATTATAATTAAAAAACTGTATGACAAGGGCACGGACCTAGAGTCCGTGGAGAAATAATCTTTAATATTATAAAAAAAAAAAAAAAAAAAAAAACATCGTAATTGAAAAACAGGTCAGATACAGACTGTATTAAATTTGTTGTCCTCAAGGTTATTTTCTATTTCCGTCTCCTTGACCAAATATTGGTATTACATTGTTCTCACATAATTGAACTCAACGAAAGAATATAACCAAAAATTGTATTGTGATCATGATTGAAAAAGAGTAACTTATGGAGTTTCTTGCTCGTTCTTCTACATAGGAATCTACACCTTGGAACGAGCAAATAGCTTCACTAGAGGACTGACCTACAGACTGACATTTTTCTTATTATTTAATATTTAAATATTTTGTTTTGACATTCAAAAGTGCCTTCCGGGTCTAATTGAAATAAATTTGACTTTGAAATAATAATAATAATAATCGCTAGAAGTTAAATGATAATTGTCTTATTCTTGAAAACTGGTAGAATAGGATCCTTTTACTGGCTGAGAAGAGAGACAGGTATACAATACTTCATATCATCTATTATCAACCTCAAACGGGTGTTTCTTCAAAAAACTTTAACTTTTATTTAACAAATCATTATCCTCCCGCGTTGTTAAGCATCGCGGTAACTTATTAGCATCTGTATTTTATTGGACTGGGTGAGAGCAGTGACATGGCTCAATTTTTTGAAACTAAACTTTGTATTTTAACTCGTCGAGTACCATCAATATAGACACAATTATAGAATAATAGGTTGCGGTCACCGGTGACCTCGCGGTGTTTGACAGTTTAATCAGCAGAATTGTTAACTGTGGCTTAAGGATAATGATGCCGTTAATTTTTTGGTTTTTTTTTTTTGGAGAATCACCCAACATCACTTATCTATACAAATAAATAAAATTAGAGTGAAAAATAACATTTATTACAATTTTTGTCCATCTGTCTGTCTGTTTGTACTGCCTAATGTCTGCAATGGCTGGGCCAATTTGGAGAGGACTTTTATTGGGAGGCAGCTAATGTACTAAGGAGTCACATAGGCTACTTTTATTTTGGAAAATTTTAACAAAACATTGTAGGATTTTATGCAGAGGAAACTGTGGGCAATAAATAGCTAGTAAATAAATATAATATAAGCGCTCCGCATTAAACTTCCTTGAGCATACTGATAAGGAGTGGAATTCTTTGCCAGAGTCTGCATTTCCTGAAGGGTATAACCTGGGTATATCAAGGCCCGAGTGAATAGGTTGCTTAAGGGACAACGTGCTCCATCGTAGACCGCATCATCGCTTACCACCAGGCAAGATACTGGTCAAACGTCAGCCAATCAAACATAAAAAAAAAATATCTTACCTATCAACGTAGCCATACTACAATGCGGTATGGTCGGCGTAAAACTAACCACAACAGTATTATCCTTGTTATCCACCTTAATATTACTTTCCTCCACAACCCTCAGCTCTTCCAGAGTCAAAGGGTGTTCAGGATCGTTGATATTGCGAATTAAATCAAAGATTTCGCGTTCATCGAACAAATCTTCAATGTCCTCATTGTAGTCTTCTGAAGTCTTTTCCCGCTCTGAACCCTTATCGTAGACGTTTGGGTTTACATTGTCTGCTAGTTTCGTCATTTTGTTTAAAAAATTTATGTTTTGCGAAGAGAAAACCCAAAACAGAGAAAAGAAAAGTACAGAATCAATGTCAATGTCAAAAAAACGTAAGTTGTTGTTGTGAATGTGATAGTGATGTGTTCGTTTAGAAATTAGCGAAAAATATATTTATTTTTCCTATAAATACGTATTTGCACATAAGAACTAGAAATAAAACAACACACAGCAGTGTTAATTCTGTTACCAACGAGACAGAAATAAAAAAAGAAAAAGGTATATTTTAACATTTCTGAAACAAACAATGGACAGAAATTTCTAAACGTACTCTCAACTGACGTACTAGGCGTTTCAAATAAAAACTGTTACTTCGATGGAACTTCTGACATACAAATATCGCTTTCTTGGTTTCTCTACAACAATATTCATTAAGATGTCTCTTTCACACACTGCAGATAAAGATCTGGAACGCAACTCTGACAGCAGGATTGTAAGATCAATAATTTACACAAGACTCGATTAAACTCTTGTTTTTAATCAAAAGAAATTGTGTGGGGCGTATCATATCCTACAAAATCACAGAGGAACACAAAACAGGTAAGTCAACCCTTTAAAACCAGTTAAAACACGCCTAAATTCTTTAAAATACTCAATTTCCTAATTAGAAAGTGTCGTTATCTAGATTCATCTTAAATTGTTAGTTTTTGGATTAGAATTCCATATTAGACTAGTTATTTAGTGATTTTAGTGAATGATAAATGATTCTACGTATATAAGTCAGTTGAACATGGTTAAAATGCGATATTTAGTTACTTTTTCTGCGAAATCAGTTTGGGGTGTTATCAAGGGGCGTTTATGATATTATGACGTAATTTCATCCCTTGTGGAGATGTAAGGTTGAAAATTATACCATATCCTTGCGGTATTCTTCATAAACTTGCTATTTCAAAGTAAAATATACAATTAAAGCTGGTTTTTGTTGAGTATTTCTAATTTAAGTATGAGTTTGTGTAAAACAGTGAATCTCACGCTCACGGTGCTGTTATCTGACTATCCTAATGAAATTTTCTAATGATATTGATATACAAACCTTCACCAGACAATAAGGAACATAACTAAAAAGGATTTATCCAATTTAGTACAGTTGTTTAGGAGCTTAGGATAATTAAATACTCTAAGTTCAGGACTTACCTCAATTAATAGTTTCTGTATAGTTACTGCTTTTTCCCTCATTTGTAAAGTGCTCGCAAAAGCATCTGTCGAGTCAAGAGATCTTGGGTTTGATTCCTGGGTCAACCAAAACTGTATTAGTTAGGGTATTTAGGGGATGAGCTTGTAATCAAGCAGACGGATCACCTGATAGTAAGTCATTAACGTCGCCTATGGACTCCCGGAACACTAGAACAGTTACAAGTGAGTTACCGGCCTTTTGGGGATTAGGAATTTCAGGACTGTTGGGGATTCAGAAATTGGGGAGGGTTATTGGGCCTCCAGTAACCTCATTCACATGATGAAACACAACGCAAGTGTTGTGAAATAATTTTTTGTTTTCTGACATGTAAATAGCATGTATAATAATTTTCTAAGTAGGTCCTGGTGTATGGCAATAAGACTCGCTCTATAAAATAAGGCTGAAACTGCTCTACAATTTTTTTCAAAAAGCCGTACTGCCTAAATACAATAACATATGCATGCTTGTCAGTTAAGGGTACTTTAAACTGACAAACACCAAGCGGTCACCGGTGACCGCAACCTATTGTTCTATAATTGTGTCTACAAAACCAGTACTCGACGAGTTAAACTGCCAAACACCAAGCGGTCACCGGTGACCGCAACCTATTGTCCTATAATTGTGTCTATAATGACGGTACTCGACGAGTTAAACTTTGTGCCCGGTATATGGCAATAGGCTCACCCCCTATTACATGGGACTCATAACATAAATAGTGAAAAGTGGGTGTTACATTGTACAGTGGCATTAAATGCCGTAATGTACACTTCAGCGTACCCCTTCGTTGATAAAAGGCGAGATGCTATCTTATGTCTTTCCTTTACCTTGTCTTCTATATTCTAGTCAACCATAATTATTCTCCACAGCATAATGGCGACAGATCCGTGGATAGTACATCCGCACGAGCATGCAAAGTTTGCGGAGCATTTCCGTAACCTCGGGCCTGTGAATGGACATCTGACTGGAGAACAGGCCAAGAGGTTCATGTTGCAGGTAAGGAAACCATGAGATTTATAGAATAATCCGGTAAACCAGCAGTTGGTATGCAATCGACGACGTCCTACCGGAACAACTGAGGCTTTACAAGTGTGTTACCAGCCTTTTGAGGATTGGGAATCTGAGGATAGTGGAGGATTCGGGGATTGGGGAGATTGGGGAAGGGGAGGGTAACTGGGCCTCCAATAACCTCACTCACACGACGAAACACAACGCAAGCGCTGCTTCACGTCGGTTTTCTGTGAGGCCGTGGTATTACTCCGGTTGAGGCGGCGCATGCGTGCCGAAGCATCGCTCTCCCACACTTGAATTATATCAAATACTAATTATGATATTTTCTCAACAGTCCCAGCTGCCTCCTCCCATATTGGGTCAGATCTGGTCGCTAGCAGACACCAACGCTGATGGAAAGCTAGATCTGCGCGAGTTCTCCATTGCTTGCAAGGTGAGTTCACCATGAACAGTCACATGACAGTCCAGTGCTGCACTATGAGTCTCCTCTACATAAGAGGGTTTGTCACAATCTCCGCAGGCAGGCGGGTTGGAGGTGGCAGTGTAAAAGGTTCAGGTTTATCAGAGAGCGCTGCTGCGCGGTCTCTGTTCGTCAGGTTTAATGATATATACGTGAAGACTAGGGTTAGGATAATTGTATTCGACTCTGCTATCATCACACGGCATGCCATAATTTTGGTCACATTTTATTAATGTTGTTTGTTGAAAAGGCGATAAACGAGCAGACGAATCATCTGATGGTAAGCAATCGCCGTCGCCCATGGACACACACACGGAACACCAGAGGCGTTACAAGTGCGTTACCGGCCTTTTGGGGATTAGGAGTTTGAGGATCGTTGGGGACTCGGGGTAAGTGGGCCTCCTGTAACCTCACTAACATGACGAAATACAACGCAACGTTATTTCACGTCAGTTTTCTGCTCGGCCGTGGTATCACTCCGGCCGAACCGGCCCATTCGTGCCGAAGCATGGCTCTCCCACACTTAAACCCCTGCTTACCTCTTTGTGTGGTAAAGGAAAATTCGAACCGAGGTTTGATCTCGAATGTGAAACCTGATAAACAAGCGGCCGCTCTCTGTACTATGCTATTTTAACTTTACATGTACTTAATGGCGAAATCTAGCACATCTGAACGCAGAAAAAAAACGTAATTTTCTGAAAATGACATTTTCTAGCTAGATCGATTTATCGCCCCCGAAACCGCTCTTGAAAAAATTCAATACAATCGATGAAGCCGTTTCGAACATCGTCGATATATACATACATACAGAATTGAGATGATGACAGGGTATGAAAATTAAAAATTTAATTAGTCCGTAAGTTAGGCAATGAAAAAATATTAGACACTTATTTTTTTATTTTGGTGTATAATAAAACAATACTTAGATAAAACGAATCAAAGTTTAGGAGTGGGGATAAAACGTCATTTCTACGTATAAAATGTACATAGAAGTGACGTCACGCGACATTTCAAATCAATATATCTTCGAAAGTATTTGTTTCTGTAAGAAAATAAAAAATACGTGTCTAATGTTCTTAAATAATCTACCAGATGGGCATTAAAATAAAAATTTGTCATCTTATTTAAACGTATTAAATTTTAATTTCAGATCATCAACCTGAAACTCCACAATATTGAGATACCGAAAGTATTGCCGCCTTCTCTGCTCGCCTCCCTGAGCCCGACTGCAGGTGAGGATGACTTTAATTAGACAAAAGAATATCTCGCTAGATTAACGACCGAAATTGACAAAATCGTACTAAATCTTAACTAAAAATCGCGAGTTACTCACGTGAAAAGCTTTACTAGTTTTCAAATTAAATCAAATTGTTTAATTTGTAAACATAGGTAGAATTTACAGCAAAGTTTAAGTTGTTACAGACTAGTGGCGTCCTCTATGTTTTGCCCAGAGGCGTACATATATATTACTAGCTACTTCCGCGCGGTTTCACACGCTCTGCTCAGCTCCTATTGGTCGTAGCGTGATGTTTTATAGCCTATAGCCATCCTCAATAAATGCGCTATCCAACACAAAAAGAATTATACAAATCAGACTTGTAGTTACGGAATTAGCGCGTTCAAACAAACAAAAAAACAAACTCTTCCGCTTTATATAATAGTATGTAAGTATGTATAAGATTAAGTATAGCATCCGCAAATGCATGTCAAATAACATTATCATAAGTTGCGTACGCGACATCGCCGCGACCGCACACCCTGCTCATGAAGGAAAGCCCTCTGTGGTTCGAAACTAGTAGAGCTTTTCTCAGTATATTCACGTGAGTAACTCGCGATTTTTACTTGATCTAAATCTTTGCATTAGTCGCGGAGAACCTAACGGGTTACCGGGTCTCCGGCTCGACGTGCAGGAGAAGGAACGGGGTGGTTTTTAGTCAGTAAGAGTCTGACACTCCCTCCCGCCTCACCCAGGCGGGAGAAGTGATTCGATGATTTTCCCCCCTTAAAAAAAATCTTTGCATTAAAATCGATGTTTTGTTCTAATTGTATGCTTGTACGGAGTTTCTGTTAATATAAATTTTTGGGTAAGAACTGTTATAAATTATTATGTTTCCGGCTTATTCACGTAACTGTGGGTTACGTGGGTCGCGGAATGCTGCTCATGAATATGAGCCTCTAGCATGGCTTGAAACTAGTCGAGTTCCTCGTCAAATAATTACGTGAGTAAGTCGTTACGTGAGTAAGTTATTTGTATTTGTATTTGTATTTCGGAAATATAATAATTAATTGAGTATGTCTGACGAAAGATTTAATATTAATATAAAAACTGTTATCAATTTCGATTTCTAACTGACAAAATTTGTTATACTTTTCAATTATCTGAGGTATTAAATTGTAGTATAAAATAATTTCTAATAAAAACATCTCTTCTATTACAGCCACCCCAAAACCGGCCTTCGCATCTCCGACCCCAGTCCCCGCCCCCATCAGACCCCCTATCCCCCCCATGCCAACCATACCCCAACAACCTTTAATATCTGGTTTACCAACCGCCCCACAATCTAACCAATCCCTATTAGGCGACCTCGTAGGCCCACCCCTAACTCAACAACCGCCTCTAATCCCACCACTAAACCCACCAAAACCAAATGTACCAGATTTAATCTCAGGTCAACCCTTAGCTCAACCATTGATCTCGCAACCTCTAGTTAGCACTCAACCGCTTGTAAACCCGCCTTTGGCTCAACCTATACTCCCGCCTCAACCAATAATCCCGCCTCAACCTATACTCCCGCCTCAACCAATGATCCCCCCTCAACCAATCATTCCGACAAACAATTTGATTGGTCAAAATCCGCCTTTGATTCCAAATCTATCAATGGAATCTTCATTTTCGAACTTAAATCAGCCTTTGATTCAACCGATTGCACCTCAAAATAAGGCATTTTCCCCTCCTGAAGCACCTGTGACTGGTCAGTCGCCGTTAATGTCTAATGTGACTACGGTGACTACAGTGGGGTCTTTAGTCACCAGTCCGCCGTCTGGGGTCAATAGCCTCGCGGGGGTCATTCAACCTGTCACTTCGACGCCATTGGCTGCGATGAAAAGTGATAGTATGTCTAAGCCGGGTAAGTTATTAAAAAATATATATTAATTGTAAATAATAATCGATCGACATTGATATTGTGTCGTACTCTTGAGTTGCACTAGCGCCCATTGCATCCGTATTGCGTGGATATTGAATGAACTAAATGGTATTGAGTTTGTCTTTATATTCCGTACTCTGAATGCTATTGTAACAGCTACGATTGTGGTTGTATAGTGTTGACATTGAATAATTATTGAGATTTTATTGGATTGAAATTGCATTGACATTAATATTGGTTTCAAGAGTAAGCGCCCTGATGATGGAATGAGAAGGTGGAAGATGGAAATTTAAACCATTCATTAAAATCGGTTCATTATATTCCATCATTGTGACTTATGATAATTAATTTTGACCTTATATTCATAGAAATGTTAAACGATTCTTACCCTTTACCGTCCTAGCAATAAGGTTGATATTCCCTTAAATTTTCCAGGTTCTCTAGTGACCAGTCCTACTGAGATGCCGATGGGTGTCATGAGTCCCCCAGCGGCGGTGGAATGGGGGATTCCTCAACCGCAGAAGCTAAAGTAAGTTTTTTATTGAATTTAATAAGTTTACAATTGGTAACAAAGGCTGGGAAATTGGCTGCTGCGCATCGTGTCGTGGGTTCGATTCCAGCATGGATCTTAATGTGATCCACAAATTGTAGCTCCGTGTCTGTGTAGTGTGTGAAGGTGTTTGTGAACATGTATTCATATGTTCGTGGGTGCCCCACGATAGAAGAAAAAGAAATCTGGGTCGGTCTCCGTAATAGCGAGAGACAATTACTTCGTTTGTGATGGAAAAGCTCGTCTTGATATCAATTATATTGAAGTATATCTGTTATTTGACAGTTAACTTCGTTTTTGACATTATATTTATTTTCTTTTTATAATAACTATCGCGAGACATACTAAATTAACGAAAATCTACAGTTACTCACGTACATATACTGAGAAAAGCTCTACTAGTTTCGAACCACAGAGGGGTTCTTCCTCATGAGCAACGTGCTCGGTCGCGGCGTCAGTAGGCTGCGCGACATCGAGTATGTCTCACGATAGTTATTTTAAAAATAATTCTTATTTGCATCAATTTCTTATTACCTTAGATAAACTACAACATTATTATATATTTTCTTATAGATACACGCAGCTGTTCAACGCTACAGACCGCGCCAAGACGGGCTCTGTATCGGGCGCTCAAGCTCGCTCCATAATGCTACAGTCTAGACTCGCCCAGCAGGCACTGGCTCAGATCTGGGCGCTAGCTGACCTGGATTCTGACGGGAAATTGGGTAAGTTTTTTTTATAGGATAAGCCGTAAACGAGTAGACGGATCACCTGATGGCAAGCAATCGGCGTCGCCCATGGACATCTGGAACACTAGAGGCGTATTATAGATGTAGTTAATTGTAGTGTGTAACTAGGTTCCCTCTTTACTTTATAAAAATTGACTAGATGTATTATATATAGTCTGCCTCATTGTCCGAGTGGTCGCAAGTGTGACTGCCGGGCAAGGGGTCTCGGGTTCGATTCCCGGGTCGGGCAAAGTATTACTGGGTTTTTCAAAAAATTCCCAGTTGTAGCCCGGAGTCTGGAATTGTGCCCGGTATATGGCAATAGGCTCACCCCCTATTACATGGGACTCATAACATAAATAGTGAAAAGTGGGTGTTACATTGTACAGTGGCATAATGTACACCTCTGCCTACCCCTTCGGGGATAAAAGGCGTGATGTTATGTTATGTTATGTTATGT